CGCACGCACCGCGTTCCAAAGAATATGGGAGCCGCGCCGACGCCGATGTTCAGCTGCTTGGGGTCCTTCACTGCAGGGGGGAGTGGGCGCTATGCGACGCGATTCAGGGGGTGGCGTTTACATTCAACTTGTTACGACACATCGTGTAACTTGACAAGTACACAACATACGGGCACATACTCGAAACAACTTTATAAAATCAACAGGGAGTACAAATTTGACATTTTATTTACAAAATTGATACGTGATGACCTTCAGTTACTTGCTAAATACATTTTACGATCAAACTTTTCGTGTCGCATAGACCCACGAAATAAAATGAAGAACGGCACGAGATGTGCATGAGAATGCTCCAAAAGAGCAGCTTAAGATGGAAAGTGTGCATTTTTGAGATTGTCTTGGCCGCGAACATCAATATTAGAATTACTGGCCGAAATCGAATGTTCGCTTTCTGCTCTCCGAGAGAACTGGACGAGCCGATTTGCATTTGATTTGCAAAACCATGGTAGTCGTTAAAAGCTTTTATTTACACATGGAAATAACGTATTCAGCAAACTTAATACAAATAACTATAATAAATAAAACAATTAACCAAACATTACAAATAGCATTAAGAGTCGGGTTAATATCTTAAGAGACCCTAACGATGACCAAATAAAGGGTCCTATTAATAATATTCACATATTAATCATAAGAACTTAAATTTAATACGACAATAAACCACGCTAATTGAATTTGAAGCGTTTGAAAAATGTCATATTTACAATAGTTTTAGGTTCTCTTTATTAGTGTTTATGTGCACCCTCAAGAGCGGTGCTGATGGAAGTTGTGTGCGTTTGTGTTGCAGCGGAGTGCGGGAAAGAGGACGGAACGCCGTGTCAAAACGGCGCCTGCCTCGACGGCCAGTGCCACTGTAACGACGGTTTCGGTGGCTGCGCCTGCGAGGTGCCCGGTGAGTGGACATTCAGATTTGTCTTTCTTCCATGTTCACTCTCCCCGTTTTGCTTTTTAGCCAAAATACAGTTTAAACATTTTGAACGAAAGCTACCCTAACGTAGACATTATAATGTTTGGTAAGTTTGCTTTAAAATCAATACATAGATACACTATAATTACAGTAGAACACCGGCAATCCGAACTAATAGGAAGTGTGGACTGTTCGGATTACCTCAAAGGATTTTATCTATTTTGTTTCCTTTTCCTCCATCCCGAATTTTGTTCGTATTATCTGAAATTTCGGATTTCCTGGGTTCGGATTACCGAGGTTCTACTGAATAATCAAATCTCTATACGAAATAAAGTGCTCGGTCCTTTGGGTTAATAAGTGTTCAGTCAATTTAAGCACCTTTCAAACCAGGGGGATTTTTTTTTCTGGGTAAGCAAAATAGTATATGCCAACTAACGAAAAAAAAAAACTATTTTGAGATTCAACTTTGAGATGAATAATACAACACTATACTTGCACAATTCTTTTTTCTCAAAAATACACAATTGTAAGTTTTTTGGCATTCTCTCACGTGGTTAATATTTACATTGCCGGCGATTAGTGTACATGATTGCATTTATGAGAACATGTGCATCCAACATGTGATCAATTTTAACTTTCTCGAAAGTCTCCTGTAAAATTACAGAGCGAAGGAGGTTTTGCGGTAAATGATGTTTTTTAAAGCTTTATGTGTATTTCCTATATTTTTATAACCTCCAGTGTTCCTCACATTTTGTTCCATTGGAATAGGGAATGCAAGACTAGCAGACTAAACTTCAATTTATTTAGAGCTACAATTTATTTAGATTTAAACTTACTTTAAATACTCCAAAATCACTATATTATAAATAGATCATGTTTTACGAATACGATTACGAATACAATATTGCACGGGATTTTTCTCGTGATGTTTTCCAGGTCAGGCCTCCTTCTCGAATAATCCCATCTCTTTCAGAGCTACCCAAACCTCTTTGTGTGTAATTTCTTTTCAAAACTTTTACTCCTCCGTAATCACTAATAAATTCAATACCCTGACAATTTAGTGCTTTTTAAACTGATCATCATAAACTACAAGAAAATAAAGATTTCATTGTTATTTTCCATTAATTGATATTTACTTATTCAGATAATTTTACTGACTTGCAAACATTTATTTATTTAAGTTATTGCTGTAGTAATAACTAGTCTTACTTTGGTCTTATGAATATCTTTCCTTACTTCATTTTACTAAATCATTCTCTTTGTAATGCCAAACATTACGCACATGTACAGTTTTAATAGAAATATCCCCAATCACTTTGTTGTGTTTCAAATTTGTTTACAATATATTTACATATCACTAGAAGACAAGCACACGGCCGCATTGTGATGATAGAGCTTAATGGTAAGAAATTCCTCATTTTAGAATTAGAAAAAAAGATCGAACCAAAAAATACAGAGTAATGGGAGTAGTAGAACGTGCGGAAGTGCGATTGTAAGGGAAACCTTTACTACAAGAAGAAAGAGGAAGGCAGAAATCAAGAGGTTTTTGCCAGAGGTAGACGTGACGGGAAGCTACACAAACGACGGGGCAGGCGACGCCGGAGAGAGTAGCGAGCTATGAGGGGGGGAGCGTCACGACGAGCGAATTGAACGACTGTGAACGCCGCACGGTCGTCTTCGTTTTTTCGCTCGCCCCTTCCCCCCCCCTCCGCTGCAAACAGCGTAGAACGACGTCCGCGGCAGTGGCCCGCCCCGCCCCACACTCCTTCCCCCTCGTGTCATTTCCCCGCGTGCCGGTCGGTGCTGGCCAAGCCGGCTTCTCGTGCACATCTTCCATGCAAATGGCGCCGGCTTTTTTGTGGGCGGGTCGTTAACGCGTCATTCCTCGCCCCGAAATAGCTCCTCTGGCCAACACGCTCAGCACCTCTGCCGCTCGCGCCTCCAAGAGGTGCAATTACACTCGACGGTACGAACAATCAATTGCCAGGAGGAGGCGTCTCCGTCGGTTTGCATTCAGTTTCCCCACATCACATCTGACGTGGATGTCTGTGCCGGGTGTGCAGTGTTGGGACAAGTTCCGAGTTTAGGGTGTACTTAACAGATGCATATATTTTTTCTGCACACCACAGACCGTGGATATGAAAGAATGTCCGATAATTCGCCCAACTGAAAAAGTATCACGCGGAATCAGCTTGGAAGCGAAATTTCAAGGCGAAGAGCAAAAAGCCCAGTAAAAAGAAGAGAGATCTCTTGACGGGGATCAAATAAATCGCGACCAGATGCGGTCGGTCTTTCAGTTCTCTGCGGTGAATTCCAAAGGAGTGAGAGTGGGGAGGGAGGGGCTCGGCGGAGGCAGCGGGTGCAGAAGGTGATGGGCGCAGAGGGACGGGGAGGGGAGGAGAGCGGGGGAAATGTAAAGGGAAGACGAGAAGAGTGTTTGTAGAAGCAAGAGCAGCAGGTAGAGTATTCTCTACTACAGAACAAAATTTAATAAAATTATCAGAAAGAAAACGGAACACCAATTTTGTCCCTTTCTTGTTGGATATGAAACTAATTTTGCTGCTGCTTATTTTTAATTATAAAGCGATGTACAAACCAATATATACAATTTCTAATATTTGCTCAAGTTCGCAATGCTACTGGACACAAAGAATCGAACCTTTTTTTTTAAAACATTGCGAATCGATAAAAATGCAGGATGCGAGCGATATTTCTCACTCAACGAGAAATGGTGTGCGGAGGCCACAAGGCACAATGGCGCCTTAAGAGGATGTTCCTCCCTCAGTTTGCACGTACATGGATCATGTGCAAATTGAGATACAATTTACTGCAATAATTCATCGCTAAATTTATATTTAATGATAGTTATGCGTTCCCAAAAAAGAAAATGACAATAATTTTAAGAAGAAAATGAACAATGCTCGTTTAGTAAGAGCTTTCAAAACTTCACAGCAATATGGTTCTTTAAAATTTCAGAAGCAAGAACCGAATGAAAATATTTACTAACTTACCTTTACAAATGCGTATCTTCCTTATGCGTATTAATCCTAACACGAAGCACAGTCAATTGTAATTATTCACACGAACAATCTCTTGAAACGTTATCAACTGGAGACGCGACAAATGCATCCCTCCGCCAGCAACAGGTAACTGCGGCTTGGTGATATTGGACTGAGACCTCCGCGTAGGGATATCACAACGGCGACATCGCGGGAAGGGTTGCGTACAGGGAGTACTTTGGACAGCGGAAGCATTTCCTGCCCTGCTCGCTCACGAAGAGAGGAGGCATTGCCCCTCCTGATTACCGGCTCAAAACCTGCAGCCTCCCTGATACAGGAGCACACAGCTGGCGAGTACAGCTCTAGCAATCCGAACCAAGAGAGAATTGAGACAATTGAATTCGTGGAAATTCAATGATTGTTCAAACCACATAAATTAATATAAAAAAACGTCATATATTGAAAAATGTTCATAAATTTATGAAATTAAGTTTAGTCAAGATGCAGAAAACTAAATACTGTAAGATTAACGTTAAAAAGAACCACCAGAAGAATTAATTAACATATTTTTCTTCCCACATCGGTTTTATCATTTCAGTAACGTTGTATTACCCTTTAATTCCCCCCCACTACTTCGTATGAGCTCAATGACTGTCGCAAACTCGCCACTTTGCCAACTACAGCAACAGTATTACAACAAATACGACCAGTACCGTTGGAACAGTGTCCCCTGCCTCGTCAAGGTTAGCTTTACACCTGGTCCCCTTCCATCGTCGCCGCGTCTGCTGCCTGTTCTGCAGGCATCAAAGGAATGCCAGCAAAATCGGAGTGGTGAGGGCAGAGTTAACGGGTTCGGGCGAGGAAGAAAGCAGCATGCCTCGCAAAAAGCGTGTGACTCTCCCCCGTCACTTGCGAATTACCTCACTGCAGTCGTCATCTGCCACAACACTGTTTTTTACTGCATGTTTACCCTCGCAATTACTTGCTTACAATAGTGCAGAATAAAACTACTTTCACGTTTGCTACATAAATCCTAGAAATTGCAATTAATTTTTTGGTTATAGTCGTAAATGGTGTTACTTAAAATGTACAGACATGTGTCTTTAACTACTATTCAAATTGACCACACTTGAATAAAAGTTTTAAAAAATTAGTAGAGAGCTTTTTTATTTGAAGTTTTGTTATTTAAGTGCAAATTTTAAAAAATTAAACAAACGATGCTAAACATTCATTGCGAATAATTTCAAACTTCTATATAAATTGAAATTCTTGTTAATGATCATATTTCGTGAATTAAATAATTATTTTATGTTCTACACATTGTATTAATGTAAATTGTATCGAACAAAACGTTACTGCAAATAAGAGTCGTCGTTTTGCAAGGGGGTTGTATTATGTTCCGTGTACTTTGACGCTGAACTCTTGTCTAATCATCAAACGCGTCTAGACGTTAACTTCACTACAATGCAACACACTACTCACTGTTTGCTTCTTCATCATCTTTTGCAACGTGGTCCCTGGTTGTCATAACCTACAAAACGAAACGGCATCTTTGTATGTGCGCAAACACTACGACACATATCTCACGATAGCCATACTTGTATACAAGTCATCGTCATGCAATTTGAAACGAATTACACAATTGAAAGGGTCACAAATGACATTCAGTATTTTCACAGTTTTACTCTCAAATACACAGATACGGCATAATCTCACTCCAAGAAACTATTTTACTTCGTAGAAAAATAGTTAAAACGCAATGTCGTCAACGCAAAGGGCATCTTAAGCGGCCGTGAAATGAAAAAGAAACGAACTTCTACTGGCGGTGCAAGGTCTGAGAATACAGAGAACAGCGAACGACGAACAATCACGCAAGAAGAACCATACGAGAAGATACGACCTCAATAATGGAATGGAACGCTTTCAAAAAAGACTACGCGGCGTAAACGACATTTTACGATGCAGTATACGAGGAAAGAAAAACGAAACGCTACAAGCCCGACAATCTTAACTTGCCTTGAAATAGTCAAGTTACCGAGTAAGGCTAGGACGAATATTGTTTCAAATTTATTTTTCTCGTGTCTTCTTTTCCTGTAACTTTTTTTAGTTTTGATATATAAATGTTCGAATTATGAAAAAAATAATAGAATTACAAATTCTCGGATATGATTTGATTCCAAGCATAAAAAATAAATAACAAAATTGATTAAATAGCTTTAAAGAATGCGGTTTTCAGGAGGAAGTATATGATTTATTCCGCACTTGCAGTGCATCCTTGGAGAATTAGACACGCTTTTATGCATCATGCAAAAATATTAAAGGAAAGAAAACGTCGGAACCTTTTGATCTTTTTGTCGAGCATATTCGCCGAGCGAATGAGGAAGCGGTAATTAAAACGGCGAGCAGTAACGAGTCGAAGCGAGCAATTTCGCGCGGAGTGACCAGCGCATGCCTCGGCGAGAAGCGGGGCCCCCGGCCGCCGACGAGAGGTCAAGGACCTCCGGGCAGGACGCGACCGCCCGCCGCCGCTCAAAATGGCCACCGGTCAAAGTGCACGCAGCGACCGGGCCGGCGCCCGCGCGGGGTGGCGTGGCGCGGAGCTGTGGGCGTAGACTAAGGAAATGAACATCATTGCTCTATGGTCTTGTTCTTCACTTCACACCTCGCGACGCTGGCGCTTTCGAGCGGCGGGCTGAGGACTATTCGAAGGAAGCAACTGGAATCAAGCCTGAGGAGCGATCTCGATTTATATTACATTATAATTTCCCTATGCGTCCTGCACTTAAGAAGCATCAGACGGATTCCTCTTGCTGTCGTACGGATCCTCCGGTGATTGGACTGAAGTGGTGGTTGTACAAAAACAAATAAATAGCGCTGGAAAAGGCAAGAATTGCGAAAGAAATGACTGGTAAATCGTAACGTGGAAGGGATATTGTTTATTTTATACTATTAACTGAATTCTAAATGAATTCTGAATTCAGTCTTGACCTTCCCTTTCACAGAAGATCAAAAAAATGTCATTTTTACCTACAAACTGATGTATGTTTACATTTGAATCCCTTATGAAGTGAGTTCCGAAAAGTTTGAAAGAACCATGTAAATAACAAATCAAAATAGTTAAGAATGTATTTTCTAAAACTAGACTAGTTTCTCCAGTGTTGCACAAAATTAATAAAATATTGCTGCCGTACGAAACATTTGTACATTGAACATTTTCGAAAGCAAATTATTCAGTAATTACCCTTTGTCTAGTAAGTTCTCGGAACCGAAAGCTTTCGGGGTCGAAAGCTTTCAGATAAGAGGTCCGTCTACTATAGAAGGTACCACTGCGAGTTTACCCACCGGTAACTTGAAGTTTGCTTACTCGCTGACTTGCACCTCACTAACAAGGACTGCAGGCGGGAGTCCCGTTCTGTACTCACAGCGCGGCCAGTGAAGAAGAGATTTCCAGACGTGGTTTGGCTCACCTACTTGCAACACCAAAGGCTGTCATTACATGTCGTAAACACGTAGTCATTATCACCTTTTAACGAATTAAATGAGATTGAAAGCCTTAGAAGGATCAATTTCTCCCATCCTCAGAATGCCCAATAAACTCGCTTAGTGCGAGGCAGTTAGTAATTCTTGAGATATATTTCTCGACAGAAGGAAAATGTATGTTTCCATCACTTGAAAACTCTCGAGAAACATTTTTGTCTAATATTTTTTATCCGTTACTATTTCCGCTATATTAAACACATTATAAACTTTCTTGTTTTTACTGTTCTGACGCAAAGAAGTGAAAGGAATGTATTGTTTAGTAAAACAAAAAAACACACTTTTCAATTTCATCTCGCTGAGTGTGCACTTTGGATGATGTGTTCCATTTTTTCTTTTCTCTATCAAGTTCAGTTTTATGACGTAAGTTGCAAAGCAATATTATTTCCTCTGACCTACCTGTACAGTCTTGCCCCTACTTACACCCTGTTTATATTACAGCTGTTATTAAAAATAAACTTACAATAAGACAAAACATTTTCATGTACCAAATATCTTCAAATGACTTGCCGCGTTGCCGCGATGTGCTTGACGTGGGTGCTTGTGCGTTGCAGACGAAAACGAGTGCAAGTACCGGCCCTGCGATGTGTTCGCACACTGCACCAACACGCTCGGGAGCTTCCATTGCACCTGCTTCCCCGGCTACGAGGGCGACGGCTTCTCTTGCACAGGTAAGTGGCTAAGCTCCTCTGCGCATGCGCGAGTGAATGAGATGGTCAAATGGTCACACGATTGGGATGATGTGTAGGAACGTGCTCTAGGAATCATCGGTAAAACAACTTGAATATTTCAGCGCTGTTGTGGTAACGTAGGAAAAGTGTTCGATGTATATTGGGTCAAATTTCACGATTGCTTGAAACCGATCCGTAAGTTCACGTGATCTCAAGCTGCAACACATACGGGAAGCAGGGAGATATACTTAGTTGTAGGTGGAAGACTTGTACAATATTCGTGAACATCTTAAAGACGAAAATATGAGTTACCACGAACATGGAACCGTGCCATCAAGCACGACATTTATAAGAGAGTAGTTCATCATTAATGATGTGTTTGAAAAACATCCCCCGCTCAATTTGAAGTAAGACATTTGTTTGAAACTGGTGATCCCCACGTTATTATCTATTACGTCATCACCATCATCATTGGTCTTCATTGCGTCCCTTACAGAATTCTTGTTTGTTCCCTACCAGTGAAATCTGTCCGATGTAAGGGAGGGGGAAAGAAACATACTCCCTCGCGGTGTTTTAGACAGGATCGAGAGTTCATGTTAAGAGAAGGGAAGGAAAGATCGCGCGCGGTCCGCACATGAAGCTGCTCCGGCACACACCTTGAAGTGCTCAGGGAAAGCACTGTTTAGAGCAGTCTGCGTAAAACTTCGCTTCGGGTAGGCACCACACACTCACAAATCTGGGGATCGACCCGTGATATTCAAATCGTTCAAGATATTGCCTTCCCGCCACGAGCGTCCTTATCTGTGATAAGGCGACAGATAACAGGCCCCCGCCTCGCGCTCTACGCAGGGGCGACCAATGTACGTCCGCGCCTCTCTGCGGTGAGTCCGAGCGCATTCGCGCTGCGGGAGGGTGGCGTGGGGGCGGGGCGGTCAGGGGAGGGGAGAGGACAGGGTCGCGTCCCACGGCAGCCGGAACCCCGGTCGCCGGCGCGGGCGCATGCGCCCCGCAATAAACTAGCGCGGGGCGGTAACGGGAACCGGCGACGGCCGGCGAGGAGAAGGCGAGAGCCGTCTGCCGTCGCACGGGCCCTGGACCCAGGCCTCCCTCCCCGCTTGCCTACGGACCCCGGCCGCCCTCCTCGCCGCGCTTGGCGCTCTACCGCACACGCCGACGTCTTGACCGCGCGCCTCCCTCTCAAAGCGCTCCAATCAACGGAGGAGACCTTACCTCTCAGCCCAGAGCGGGCCTTACTTTCATGTCGGAGACGGATTTGCAATATTTAAAAGGGGACGTTCATTTTAGTTTGGACCAGTCCTGTCCTGTCCTTTGGTTTGACAGACTGCTAAGGGCCTTGGTCGACCAGTTGTGACCCAGCCTCTCGGCTACGGGATAAGGGGTTCGTGTGGTTTAGCACGAATAAATACCTCCACCGTATATACTGCTATTCGTAACCTTAGGTTGGGCTTTTTCATAGTTACACAGCAATAGATACTGGGGCATTTGAAATGCAAAGCGCACAGTTATAATTTTGCGCCGGCCTGGAATCGAACCCGAGGTTGCGCCCGTGGAAAGCAAGCACGCTAACCAACGAGTCATCGATGTCTTCTTTAGCTTCAACCACCATCCCTGAAATATTTTTGAAATAAAAAAAATGTGTTTTGATAATTGAAATACTTCTGTAGAATATGTATGGTAATTGTGTAAAATTATTAAAGAATGTTGTATTTGTGTAGCGTCGTTCTTCCCATGTCACCCTCTTAACCCCCTACTTATTTACAGCGATGTTCTTAGAGTTTTGAATAGTTTGATCATCTTCAAAATACATCATTACACACTTCAGATACTGCTTAAAATAGTTATGTCAAAATTGTTACAAAAGGTTGGGTTTTGGGGTTAACTTTGAGATGAGAAAGGCCTAATTTTGCCAAGTTCATTAATGTTTAGCTATTTTATATTTTCTGTTTTCGATACACTAGATGTGATTATTATTTTGGAAACGTTTTTATATGTTACAACAAATAATACATTTTCAATACAGAAATTATTATTCACAGAGAATTGAAACAACGCAATTATTAGATTCGGGATATCGGAAATTTACGAGGGATGAAAATGAAATTCCGAAGACTGACGCGATCTGTGAGCAGCACGTGGAAAGTATTTCGCGCAGATGCAGGCACCGCAGCGCACCTGGAAGTCAACGCTGCAGTTCCCCTCTTCCGCCACCTGACGCGCTTTTAATCGCTCGAGGTTGTTCCAACGGGAGGAAGCTGGGAGCGAAAGACGGTCGAGGGCGGAGTGGAGAATCGTTACTCAGAGAACAGTACTACATTACAAAGCAATATTTCTACGAAAACAGTTATCCCCTAAGCTCTGAAGTAACGCTGATAACACCCAAAGCGTTAGCTTTTTCTTTGCTGCTTGCTTTGTGGATTGTCCTGCGAGCTATCGTGTTTTCCTGTAACCGGTCATTTTTCACATTCCACGGTCTGGCGACAATGACTGGTGTGGTTCTCAGAACTTTTATATCGTGTTTGCGAGCGTCAGGGCAACCTGGAGGACGTTGACACTGCGAAGAGAGAACAATTTGTAACGGAGGATTAAAGAAAAAATCTAAAATGTGTCAAAAGGAGATTTTACTGATGAAAACATTACTTAAATGTTTCATGGAAAGAAAAAAAATTACATCTTGACGTAACGGAAACTTCTACAAATCAAATATGACCCACACTTCTTGAAAAGTGTACTAAAAACTCCCATTCAAGGATCATGAATGTAAAATCAGTTTACAAGAACATGGTCACTGACAAATAAGTAAGGCATTTTCCTTGATTTTTAAAGTGTTAAAAGAAGGCATAAATCCCATCGTAGATTCTTGACTGTGAAATACGTAATAGTATTATTGGCAAGGGAAATCACGACAGTGTCACGAAGACGCAATTCTTATCACAATAGTGATTCGATAAACGGCCCAGAAAAATGACATTATTTCGCTACTTGGGAACTAGACTCCTTGGCAGGTTTTCGATTACAGTTCTTTCGAAACAATTTGCGTTCTAATCTGCTAACTTTTTGTTGTGCTATGGGGGACGCAAACTGTTTAACCGCAACGGAACCTGTTTGCAAAAACCAATATCGGAAGAGAAGGGAACAAGATACGATAGAGATAAAACTAGTTCGATTCCTTCGGTGACAACTTCTATTGGACATTAATTACGATTTCACGTTATATATAAGAACAGAAAAACTGTAAATATAATCTTGATATATTATACTACGGACAATTATACAAGAACAAATTATTTAAAAAACATGTAATTTAATCTCCCATTTCCTGGTGTTCTTTAATATGGGCAACGTATAATATTGTAAATAGTATTTAAAGCTCTCCTTTGACTAAAAAACGGAAGAAACTTGTATATCTCCGATGTGACGCACATCATTAATGATGGACATCTCGAGATTTCTCGGCTAGTGTCTCTGTGAACGTGATCTGCCGCAGATGGCAATAACCGCATCAAGAGGTCTCCGCGTTAAGGACAAATGCTTCAAGTGTCGTCTGTCTTTCCTAGCCAAGAGACGCGATGCTTGGAGACGGAGTGTTACATGTCTATGGAATCATTTCCACTCTCCAAGCTATTCCTTCCCCTTCGGTTGGGAACATCTCAAAAACGCAAACCACAAAGGACATTACATTCTTAAGTAAATATAACTCTGTCCTTGATAATGCAAGTCATGGCACTTTGCGCCCGAAAGCATGACACGTGGCTAGTCAATGCAGCGTAACGCACTCTACATCTGGGGGGAACGAAGAACGGTTAAATATTTGAACACATTACACAGTCGTCGTTAATAGTAGAGTCATGTGCGGTCTGTATATATCCACTCGGTATCTCATTTAAATAAAACACAGCGATTTCATCAAACGCTAACCTTCGGTAACTACGGTTATAACTCTTAAAAATTCAATTTCATAGAAGAACAACATGTCTTGCTTTTATGCAATTATTTGAACTAATCAACAGACAATTAACAGGCAACTTAGCTAGATATTAATCGATAATCTCAAATCTCTTTCGTAATATGTAAAATCCAGCAAAAAATAACCAGCGAACTAGGGATAGAATTTCTTTTATGTTCGAAAATGCTCGAGCAGCCGTTACAACCAAAGACAGTTTACTTGATGTGTTTGTACAATCTTGACCATAATGATATAGAGAATCCAGTATTACATATTCAGCTTATTCAAAGGTCACGAAAATAATGACATACTACTATAATGTTTTATATACTGTTATGAGACTCTTGTTGGAGCTGCAGTGAAACTCATGCAAATAATTCCTCAGGGCAAAAGCCTCCCTTATAGTAAACAGGCTCAGGTTTAGCTCATCCGATAGCAAATATAAGATGGTCAGCATCTAAATCTGATGGATGGCTTCTCGTTTTCCTATTCGATACAACAACAGGTGTAATATCAGATCGGTTGAACAAATTATAACGGTTGTACGTGTACAATATAAAAGACGACTATGTACTATCGCCCTCCACAGAGACTACAACGGCTGCGTCGAGGCACCGCGGTATGCCAGCACTACGAGTAACTGCGAAGTGGTTCCGCACATGAAAAATACTTTGGATTTGGTCATGGGGCGGAGGCTGGGCGCAGTCGCGCACGGAGTGGCTCAGGGCGCGGGCGCGGGGCGGGGCGGGCGCGGGCGCACCTGTGGCGGCGGCGTCGGCGAGTCAACGGCCGCCGCGGAGCAACGCCCGCTCTGCCGCCGCCCCTGCGTCTTCCTGCTGACGTCACGCCGGCCTCGGGCGCGAGATGGCGTCTGCGCCGCGCCAACACCGCCTCCGCTGCCGCCGCAAACCGCACACACTGCCGCGCTCTGTCAGAGGCGACACCTCGCGCTCCCTAGCTCCAACACGGCAATGATAAATCCCCCTAAGATTGATCGATTAGTGAGTGTCAGCTTCTAACATCATTAGTCCCGTT